TTTTTTAAGTCAGTTTCGCCCAAAACTTGCTGGAGTTTCTAGACCACCTGCTGTGAGTGTTTGATTTCCTAGGTTTCACTTTACATAAAACCTGATTAAGGCACACATTTGCTCTAAGTGATTTTAAATTATTTATGTTTGGAAAACATCCCGATACCCCTTGAGATTATTTGAGCACCCTGAGGTGCTAAAAAATAAAACTGCCCTTCCCTTTCCTTGAACAGACACTTTCATAAATGTTTTTTCAAAAGGATTCAGACAAACAAAAGAAACTAAAGCATTTGCTGATTTTGTAACATCATTTGAAAAATAAACAGCATGGCTTCTGGATTCTTCTATTCTGTTCTACATCCTTAAAAACACAAAGAGATAAAATTAAAAACATAAATTTTCCTTTGAAATATTGGTTTCTTCTAGTCTGTTCTCCACTCTGAAAACACAGAGATCACAATTAAAAGCATAAGTTGTCCTTGGGAAATGTGTTGGTTTTCTCAGAAATTTGAAGGAAACCAGCTGAGATAATGGCTTTTCAGTTTCCTTTTCGCACAGTCCTTACAGTTTACAACAAATTTTTTTCAAGAAGATAACTTGGCTTCAGTTTGGCTGAATGGGCAAAGAAACTCTCTAACCAAAACAAAATAAAACAATAACTTTATCTTTCCCAGACCACATTTACAGTATAACATAACGGTTAGTACACAGGCTTTGAATCACTCTGACTTGGGTTCAAATTAAACCTGTACCAAATTTTTGACTCAGTTTCTCTATTTGCAAAATGGATACAATCATACCTACCCCTCTTGGGTTTTTGTGAAAAGTAAGACCTATAAAATGCTTAGCTCAGCTTAATGAGCATTTAATAATTGGTGCCTATTATTATTATTAATTATTAGAGTGAGAAAAGACCTCAGGCTATCTATCCAAACCTTATCTAATGCGTGATCCTCTTCAGCGTCATAGACAAGTGATGGGTCCCCTCATTTATTCTTGAATAACTCCAGCTGAACCCCAAGCCCAGCCAACGAGCTCTAATTTTTCATCTCTATGTTAAACTCTCTCCTTCTCCTACACGTCACCACCCTTCCTGCATCCAAGCCATTCAGATACTGAGGAGCACGCTGATGTCATTTCCTAAGTGATCTCATCTTTGTGATAAAACATCACCAGTTCCTCCCAACTTTTCTCATCATGTTGGCCGCTGGCTTTGGGGTCTTCTTCCAGTGTGTATCCCGAATCTAAGAAGGTTATGTCCAGTGGATTAGTTGAGGATCATTTTTTTATCCCCCCAAACTTGAGAAACTGAAGCATAGAGTGTGGCAAGGCAGACCAGGACTCTAGGCCAGGGTTCTTTCTTTTAGACAATAATCTGGTGACCCTATTTTCATCCCAGAGTTACCCAGGGTAAGGATTTCTATAAAAATAAAAATTTGGATGATTTTCTGTTCTCAATAAGGTTTTTGATATCCATTTTTAATTGTAATTCAATTATGTCAATATTTTTCTACATTATGGAAACATTATTTTAAGTTGGCCAGGGACAAAATATGTTTATTTTTATATTTGTAAATACGATTATAATATACATTACAAAAGACACATAATCAGCAACCCTAAGTTTATAGTTTTATAGCTATTATTGCTTAGGATGAAGTGAGCTTAAGGTGTGAGTATTTTTTAAATTAATTTAAGGAAAAATAATAAATAACTACAGTAGAGGTGGTACCACAAAATCACAAAAGTGATATACAATTGAATGAAGTTTTGGAAACACTGGTTTTGGGTATTGTCATAGCAAATAATTTAAAGGTAAGTATTTCAAAGTTCACTTAATTGCAATATAAATTTATGAATTCATAAATAAATCACATCGTATTAATTTAAAAACTCTGTTTCTTCACCTGCATCTAAAAGCAGTGTCAAGTTTGGCTGGATAAGGTTTGGATAGATAGCCTCAATCTAATAATAACAATACTAGGCAACAATTATTAATAGTGTAAGTGCAAACTGAATAGAAAAAGCCTGTCTAACTATGAAATGTTCATGCTTATATATAATTTTGAGAATTTGCTTTTTTTGAAGGAGGAAGATGGGGGAAGCAATGTCCTTACTCTTCTAAGTCTTTGATTTTACAAACCAGCCTTCAAAGCTCCAGCATGCATATTAATTATTAAACATTTTTATGTTTCTGAAATGTGAACTTTGTTAAAGATCATAAATTATTAGATTTCATAACATCATAACATTCTGAAGAACTAAATACCAGAGGAAGAAGTGCTTCAGAAAATGATGGATGGCATCGTGGTTTTAAATGGCATTGTAAGTACTCAAGGTGAGAAACTAATATCCACTTAATTCACCCAGAAAGGGGGTAAGATTTCTACCTTGCAATGTTTTGTGAATTAAATGAAATAATCTACATGTATGCACAGGTGCCTGGTTGCATTTTGTAGAGAGGCTATCTCTCAACTATAGCTATTTCCTTTACGTTTATATTGTGAGGCCCCTTCATTCTGTGGACAGACATTGGTGCAGTCACTTTCCTCATTGCATTTCATACTAGTTTATGCAGATGATCAAGATTGGTCTGTAGAGAGAAGATGTACATGAGAGTGGATCAGAGAGAAAAGTAGGTGAAAGAGAGAATGCAAAGAATTCTGGGAACTTGATGAAGAAACTGGAGAAAGAACATTAAAATAGTATTGGGTTCATCTTTATTTTTTGTTTTTTACTCTACAAATATGGCAGCATTTTCCTGACTTTAGTAACAATGAGGTTAATCTGAGGGATTGAGCACAGTGAACTCCAGGAGTATATTACACTACCAAATAAAAATCCTAAAAAGTAACAGAATATTAGAGTATGTTCAACAAATGACTTTTTATTATCATCCAGGACAAGCAGTTGGCAGCAAATAATAGAGAACCCAGAAAACAATGGCAGCGAGCTTTGTTTATGTCATGCAATAAAATGTCCAGGACTAAAATTATGGCTCAAGGTGCTAATGGGCAACCAGATTCCTTTCATTTTTCTTAACATTCTCAAACTTGTTAATTTATGGTCTCAAGAGAGC